GTCCGTCGAAAAAAAATAATATATTTTTATATTATGTAATAATGTAACTTTAAAATACTTATTTTAATCTCAATGAAATGATTTTTAGCAATATATATATATATATATATAAAACTTATTTTATCCTCATAAGTTTCAAAAGTCTTTCTTTCTTAAATTTCATGTTAAGTTAAACTAACTCATATAAATTTGAACGGAAGGAATACTTATTTTTATAATAAAGGGAGTATTTTAACTTCTTCTCATTCGTCCATTTTCATTAGTGATTGCTTGTTTTCTTTTGCCTCTCTCTTGAGTTTCCCCACTTTCTGTTTTTCTTTTTGTTTCTTTTCCCTTTCACATTATAGAGTGATTTGCGTGAGTTTTTTTTTGTTTATTTGATGTTTAGTATTTATATTGGAGTTTGACTAATTCAGATTTATGTCAGGTAAGGCTTCATTTGGAGGATACTGCTTCCTACCAAAAATTGTTCCATACTAGTTCAAACTTGAGACCTCTAATTAAAAGAGAAGCAGTCTCATCCACTGTAACATATCATTGGTGGCGTAATATGCATGAGTTACTTGTACGTTTAACTTATATGTTAATGTATTCTCTTTACTAGTGCGTTTTATAGATTTGATTTCATTCGATCTTCTTTTTCTCCAGATACAATGAAAAGTACTTCGACAAAATCCTTGCAAGTGTTTCTTTAAGTCACGTGACATAAATCTGCTAAGATAAAATATTCAATATTATTTTCTTTTTAAAAAATAGCAATAAGTTTGATGGTCATATTATTAATTTTCAACAAATATCTGCAATTTACAACATTGATAAGCTCTTGACGATCAGGTTTGTTTGATCTGAGTGCACCCATCACCCATGTCATTGATGTTACGCAAGTCATTAAATTATGTTGACAACTAAGAATAACATAAAGATAAATGTTTACTGCTAACATATTAAATTAACCAACATTAGTAAATTGTCTGCTTTTATCTTAAATTAAAAACCAACCAAAATAATAATTTGTGTTTGTGCTTCACAATGAATAATAATGAAATTAAGAAGGGTTAAATAATAAAGAAAGACCTCAAGAATTATATTCTAACACATCTTGTATTCACATCGAGTATTTGCTTCAAACCAATTAATGTACTAAATTGCGCTAAAAAGGGGAAAAAATGTAAAGTTTTCAAATTAAAGTTGAGCATGCATTGAAAGGCATAATTTGGTGTGATGCACTTTATGCTAGACGCCAGAATATATTCTAGGATCTAATGAAGAGAACAACATAGGCAATTTGTTATTTGATGATACTCCCATGTGGCCCTCTAGTACTGGATTGTTTGGTATGTGGATTAAATTATTTCGGGATTATAATTTTTAGAACTAAATTATTTTATTTAGAAGGTAGAATAAAATAATCTCAAGTTAATATGATGGATAAGATGAGATATTCAAAATTAAGTTTACGATTAAATTTATATTGTGTTTGATTGACGGTATAATTTTATGCTGATCTTTTTCTTTTTCCTACCATTTGTCGAATAGTTGGGCGATATCAACCAATCGCCCCCACTAGCATAATCTAATTATTCGAACTAATCCTTCTATTGAAGCAATTATAGATTTTACTCGTATTTGTAATCATTTTGTTTTTTTTAATTACTTGGTTGAAGGTTTGAACACTATGGCCCTAGTTTCAATGATTATTGCCTTCTTTGTAATTGACCCTACTCTTTGACCAATCTCAAATTACACTATTCTAAATTTCTTATAAAAAAATTTTGTGGACCTATAAAAATTTAAAGATTTAAGGAAGAGTCCTCCCTTGATGTTCATCCAAATAGACCGTTTTGGTAGCTAAAATGAGTAATGATTGTATTCTAACGTGTTAATTCATTAAAAGTGTCGTCGTTTAAATTTTAACCGTTTCACCGAAATCTAGATAAAAATATTGGTAGGTTCATGATTTCTTATTAGATATTGGGAAAGACTAAGAGGCATATCCAAGATGGGTCACCGAGCTCACATGCTCCCTCCTGAAATCAAATATAATAATGTTATATTTTTCTAAAAATATTTAAATATAGATATGTGAACCCACACTTGAAGTATCATACCGTGCGATAACACCCTCTCTAAGTGATTTGGATAGGTAAAAATAATTTTGGACCTATAATTTTAAATTTTTAATTATTTTTAGTGATAAAAACCTAAAAATGTTAAACCGATCAAATTTATATCTTAGATCCATCTTTTCGTAATAATGCACCCATCATTTCAAACTCCTGGATATGCCTCTGATTATTTAAAGACTTGCCTTACTAATAAGTTACGGTGATAGCCAAAAATTCTAATCAGGAATTGCTAGGATTTTAGTCATAAATACTAAAACGATCGTGGCAATTTTTCAAACTTATTGCTAAAATGAGTTTATTGTAAGAAGAAGATGATAAAATCTAAATTTGTTTTGTTAGCGGGGCCAAGAATTAAATGAGTGTCCTCACGGAGTAAATCACAAAAGTATAATATGTTTAGAGGCCCAATTTCAACATTTACACAACTGGTAGATTTGTGAATGAGCAACCTTCACATATAGCAGACACAAAAATCATATTTATATGTTATAGCTATAATTTGCATAATTGTGCTTCATAATAAACATAAATATGTATATTTCGCTATACATATACAAAGAAAGCAGTTGTATATAATCTGTTTTTGTTTTGGTATACATATACAAAAGATCAATTGTATAATTTGTGTTTGTATAAAGCGAAAAAGAGAGAAAGGCAAAAGAGAACTGGGCAGAGAAATATTTATATTGTATAATTATAAGTGTATAGGATGAAGATATATGTATTTGCATGTGTATATACAATTTTCTCTCGTTTTATACAAACAGAAACACAATTTATACATTTTTGTTTGTATAAGCGAGAGAGGCGAGGGAGAGATTGGCGAGCAAGATCTGGGAGAGTGACGAGCGAGATCCGGAAGAGGGGAGAGAGGAGAACAAAAATATATGTATATATACAATTTTCTCCCGCTTTATACAAACACAACACTCATTTTATACATTGCGTTTGTATAAAAGAGAGAGAGGCGAGGGAGAGAACGAGATTGGCGAGTGAGATTCACCAGGAGAGAGGCGAAATAGCAACAGTTTGCTATGGGGTACAATTAAATCAAACTATGTTTATATCATTTAATTTGAATTAATAGTTTGCTATTATATACAATTTTTCCTTTGTGAATTGCATGTCTATAATTTAATTGATTTAATTCTAGGGAAAATTACGTGGTTAAGCAAATTTATACTACTTAATTACTCATTATAGCTATAGTTTGCTATAATTACCACTCGCGACTAACATTATACATTAATTACGTTTGCTGACTTCGAATTTGTATAATTAGTCACGTTTGTATATGTATAATTCACAAGAATATACAAATACATATGTATAATATTCAATTATCTAACCGATATACATATACAATTCACCTCTCTCCCACTCTCTCGCTCGCCTCTCTCCTCCCCCTCCCAATCTCGCTTGCCATATATACAAATGCATATGTATAATATACAATTATCTAACCAATATGCATATACAATTCACCTCTCTCCCACTCTATGCCCTCTCTCCATCCTCTCTCAATCTCGCTTGCCTCTCTCCTCCCTCTCCCAATCTCGTTCGCTTCTCTCCTCCATCTTCCAATCTTGCTTTCCATATATACAAATACATATGTATAATAAATAATTATCTAACCAATATACATATACAATTCACCTCTCTCCCACTCTTTGCCGTCTCTCGCTCGCCTCTCTCCTCTCTCTCCCAGTCTCGCTCGCCTCTCTCCTCTCTATGATATATACCTACGAATTGTAATTATCAAACTATAGCTATGCATGGAGAGTAATTATGCTATTTTTGAGTGGCTATATGTGAAAGTTCTTCTTAATTCTATTAGTCTGATTTTTGAAAGGGCAATTAACCATTTTTTCTTCTAAAAATTACAACTTTTCATATGCATTGCCGCACATACCAACAAATATTTGCATCAAAGTCCAAAGAAAAACACACTACAATCAAATCTATTGTAGTGTTGGTCTGAAAACTTCTTAATGGTTATAGTGAAGTGTTGTTATATGACGCTTTGATCTTATTTAACAATTATAAATAAAAGTATACAAAATTAATTAATAATTAATTAATTGTGTATAAAAAAAAATCATGTATGATATATGTATCTGCTAACTAATTTAACCAAATAGAAAGAGTATGAATGTAAAAAAGCATATACATTTTTTTTCTCGTGAAATTATGATTATAATTGATGGGTACCAGTTAAATACATTTTTTCTTGTTAGATATTCGTACTTAAAATTTACTACTGTGCATCACATTAATATAATGATATCATAAATATTTTAAAATTTTATTTTTATATATAATATATTTCTTGGAAAATATTATTGCACGATATTTGAATATGGTTGCTATAGAATGGTATTTTTACAATGAGTGTATCACTATGTTGTTATAGGTTGAATGTTGTCATAGAGAAGTAAAATATAATATGAAAAATCAGGTCTGGAGAAAATCAGGCTATATTTTAGTGAAATGTTATTGTAACGAACTATACTACAAAGATGAACTCCCTTCGTCTATTTTCTGACTTGTCCAGTATTCACTTGACACGCTTTTTAAAAAATAAAAAATAGAAGGGTTAGGAATAATCATTTTACTATATCATCTTTTAATATGACCAAATAGATATTCAAAAATAATTTTTCAAAATCTGATCCAATATCTATGATAAGACGCTAGCTTAGCGAAATGAATGCAAAGCAACATGTCTCTTAGTAACAAAATTATCACAGAGATTCATCAAAGAACTGATTCAAGATATCTAGATTGCTCAAATATTTCTTTCCATTAATAATATATGTACTGAGCAATTGGGCCTCAAACTAGAATTACAAAAAACAACACTATTATTAGGATTCAATATGGACCCCAACAGCTCAAGTACATAACTTTCCTAAGTGACTCTTCAGACTGCTTTGCTTTACTGTTTGAAGAAACCATAGAAGAAGATTGAGAAGAGATTTTTTTGGCCTGTGAATATGACTTTATATTGTTCTTTGCATGCTGATTTATTGTTTTGATGGTGCAATTCCACCTACTCACTCCTTGATCTTTCACTGCCTCAACCCATGCCTTGCTTGTTGAACTCATTTTCTAAATTTAATTTTTGATTTCTTGAAAATCTTTGCTAATTGGATATTGTGTTGGTTGTTTGGTTGAATTCTCATGGATTTGATGCTTCTCAATATATAGGTAAGTGCGGCGGCTCAATAAAACTAGTGGCTTTTAGCTCTCAATTCTTGCGGCTTTGGAGCATTGTTTTTCTAGAATTTCAGTTACAGTTATATTTATGGCTGTGAATGTACTTTTTTGCCCTTGTGCATAATTTTTCATTCCCGTGGCTTTGGAGCATGGTTTTTCTAAAAATTCAGTTACTATTGTGGTTTTGGATGTAGTGGTAGACCCACAGAGGGGTATTGACGGATACCCTTCGTCAGAAAATTATATTATATAGCTATGTAAACTTTGAATATATATATAGTGTATATTGACACTTCTTAGCTTTGACGTAATTTTATTTCTTTATATTTTGACATTCCTTAGTCGAAACTTGGCTCCACCACTATGTGAATGTACATTTCTACCCTTGTGCATATCTTGTGGCTTTGGAGCACGATTTTCTATAATTTCAGTTACTATTGTGGCTGTAGATGTACATTTTTGCTCCTCCGCCTAATTTTTCATTTTGGTGGCTTCGGAGCATGGTTTTCTAAATGTCAGTTACGATTGTGACTGTGAATGTACATTTCTACCCTTACGCGTAATTTTTTATGATGATAATTTTGAGGGTATAGTGGGTATTTCAAGAATTACTAGCTATTTGAGGGTGGATGGTTCATTGAAGTAGCAAATTGAATTTGCAATCTTGTTTTGGATTATTATGAGAGGAGCAGAATGATGTAACGCCGTAATAAATACAGTAAGATGACGGCGGACCCACAAACTACGTGCTTTAAAGTAGGGGTATTCATCGTACTATATGGTACACTGAGAAAAATTCAGAGAATTTTGAGTTTTAATTCTTAAAAATATTATTTACTATTATGATATTGCATTTATTCGATATATATGTAATCTGGTAGCTTTCATTTTGATTTATACAGTATTGTAAGTTAGTTATTATGATTTATTTATATATAATAATGTAAAATTATGGCCTCGAAATACTATATTATCATACTGAATTAATCAACTATGATTCAATATTTTTTTCATTTGGTTTCGATTTATATGGTATGATAGTCACTCACTAGTGTTTGCTCGACTCCAACTTACATGAAATGTAAAATTATGAATTCGATAATGACAGAAACTCAGCTCCAAAAAAGAAAATTTAGGCCTTCATCTTGTTAAAACTGTAAACTCGCAAACTCTTTAACTAGCTTGTCATAATTAATAGCTAAATGATTTGTGAATAGAGTATGGTTAATATAAGGTATTTGGAATTCAGATGAGATTAATGCAACCTTTGAAATGTGTATATTCTGAAATCTGATCACCTTCAGTTAGTTTAATTTTTTTTTTAAAATTCTAACCAAAGATAATTCAAAATAAATTTATTTTTCAGTAATCAAAAGCAGGTCAGTGGCCGGTCAAAAGGTCAACTATCACACCCCTAATACCTAAGTTTGAAAATTATGTGGACATTAGGATCTAGGACCGACTTAAAAGTGTACAAAACAATGAAAATAATAGTATAATATGTTTTTGGATTCACAAAAAAATTAGGCCCGCACATCCCTTATTTACTTTGGATAGGAACAAATTTATTAGGAAGAGTCCTTAATTCAGTACTCATCCCATTTTAGGTGAGGTAAGTGACTCAGTATAAAGTCCCATGGTAGAATTTGTGTGATTATAAATCATTTCATTAAAAATAAAATAGATATTTTAAAGTTAAATTATTACTTAATAAAGAAATGTATCATTCTTTTTTAGTCTGACTAAAAAGAAAAATAAGTCATATAAATTGAGATAAATAGTAGTAATTTGTACACTAGAAATCCTAATTACCTACCCTATGGTACAAAATTGAACATGTTCAATTTTCTTTAGGGAATGGGAGGCATGGCATAACTCTTCTCAAATGTATATATTTTTGGATGATCAATATCAGATTCTCCGTAATATTCGAACCAAAACATATTAATCTATGTGATTGAATTGGTTTAATATAAAAATTATATATCTACAAAATTGAAAAATATAAAAAAGAATTACACAAGTCAAATAACACGAAACCAAATGAAAACCACTAGAATTGAGTATAATTTCCAGATATTTGGGATTGCAGAAAAAAAAAATTCCATTGATTGAGCAATTTAGGCCAAGCTCTCAAAATCATTTACAATATTGTCAAAAACTATGTACATGACAGCAATAATTAGATATAACTGCTATTATGATTGATCAATATGGACCCCAACAGCTCAAATACATGACTTTCCTCAGAGACTCTTCAGATTGCTTTACTTTACTGTTAGCAGAAACCAAAGAAGAAGAAGAGGATTGAGAAGACATTTTTTTGGCCTGTAAATATGAGCGTAGATTGTTCTTTGCGTGCTGATTTATGACTCTGATTGTGTAATTCCACCTACACACTCCTTGATCTTTCAGTGCCTCTACCACTCCCACGCTTACTGCTGCAACCCATGCCCTGATTGTTGAACTCATTTTTCTAATATAAGTTTGTGAAAGGTTTAATTTGCTTTCGATATTGTGTTGGTTGAATTCTCAGCGATTTGATGCTTTTGAATTTATAGATAAGTGCGTCTCAATAAAATTATTGGCTTTTATCTCAATTCACGTGGTTTTGGAGCATGGTTTTCCAAAATTTCAGTTATAGAGAGTGGATAAGAATGTACATTTCTGCAGTTAGCAGAATGATGTGCATAATGCCAAAATGCATACATAAAACAATGAGTACTTGAGATGGATGCACACGGATTGGGTAGATAAATGAAAACCCACTGGCTGACTGGGCAGTCTGGCCCAGGGGAGGACCCACATGGAGTCCGCCGGGAGCTTGAGTACCCATTAACCTCGTCTCCGAATATATATATCTATGTTGAAATTAAGAGATATTTGTATAAAATTAACATAGAGCACCCAATGAACAAATGATTTGGCTGGTCCATTTGCTCTTGGGTGGGTGTTTAAGGTTCTTTTAGTGTTGTTGAGTTTGAGTTCGAATTTCACTGTTAACATGTCTTTTTATATTTTTGACTCCACCATTTTCAGATCACCCACAACCTTAAAATCTTAGATCTGCCACTTGGCCACTAGAGCCTAAACCATGGGAAGGATATTTAAAAAGTATCATGTGATACTCACTAGGTAAACAAATAATCTAACGTTGTAGTGTGTACAAATATAACTTTTTTAACTTATTTAGGTTCGACTTGACTTGGATTCGATTATATTTTAACTCGATCAGCTTAACTCTGGTCAAAATCAAAGATTATTTCAGCTTAACTCGATCAGCGTATATGATGGAATATGGATAATAATAAACAAAATTATCCTTAAAATTTACGTAATATTTTAATAAGAAATATAATTAAATAAATTAAATAATACTAAAATTTGAGTTACCAAATTAAGGTATGTTAAGATTTCTGATACAGCTCAAGGATAATTAATAAACTATCTACAAATATATGACGTAGAATAAATTTGATATATTGGCCATATACATATGGCAACGATAATAGTACTGCCCCGTTATTCTGTACGGTCAATGGTCATGTTAAGAATTGATACAGAATAACAGATTTGTGGATCTACCAAAAGAAACAAAGTCTTTTTTCAGACGTAATGTTTTGAGAGAAGGCCCAAAATAGTCCTCATTTTTGGATTAAGACTGAAAATCATTCTTGAATTTTTATATGGAGCACTAATAGTCTCTTATGTTTGCAATATTGGTGTACTTTTGATCCTTCTCTAAATTTTTGCCTATTTTTTAACATTAATTTTGTTCATAATTTTATGTAAAGAATGTCCCATCGTCTTATTATATATTTAGTAGAAATATAAACTCTATGTGAGAGAAGGTGAAAAGAAAAACACTTTATTTTGCTCAGTATAAATATTACTGCAGTTAAACTAAAAACATTTTAATGTATAACATTGCAAGAAAAGAAAAAATTGTACTATTGCACGTGAAATCATCGTGATGAACCTCTCGATTTTACCTGCAATACGATTTTTACTAAACAAATCAATGCATTTTTCTTCTCACAATCCCTCACATGAAGTTATTATTTCTACTAAATATATAAAATGACGATTAAACATACCATACATAAATTATGAATAAAATCAATGTTAAAAAACATTAGGCAAAATTTTGAAGGAGGACCAAAAGTGCACCAATATTGCAAACATGAGAGACTATTAATACTCCATATGAAAATTCAATGATAACTTTGAATCTTAACACAAAGATGAGGGACTATTTTAAGCCTTTTCTCTAATATTTTAACTCAATAGTAAGGAATTAAAGGAAAGCATGCTTTGTTATATTTTTATCTTCTATTCTAAAATTTAGGATCTCAAATTTCTAACCTGGATTTTACTTTTTCTTCCAACTCTCTAATTTATTTGAAATATTATTATAATAGATAAAGAAAAAAACTTTATTGATTTGTCAAAATTGAGAAAGAAAAAGAAAAATTGAACAAATAATTAGAGATACAAGAGAGTGCTTGATTTGCTTAATGATTGTTTAAGAATTTCAAATTTCAAAACCATATGCATATTCATTAGTATTACAGCATTACTTATAATTAAGCATGCTAGCTGGAAGTGATATAATTAGTTGATCCGTTAATGCCTGAATTCACCGAAAGATCAACTCTATTCATAGAGTTTTTTCACATACAATTGTCGGAAGATTTCAAGATACATGCTTATCTTTGAAATGGCATGACCTTAACTAATACAGTATGTCCTATTTACAATCATAGCCTAATTTTACATTTTATACTGTCTCCTATCATCACTATTAAAATCTTCAATTTGGACCCCAACAGCTCAAATACATAACTTTTCTCAGAGATTCTTCAGATTGCTCTGTCTTTTCACTCTTTGCAATCAGAGAAGAAGAAAGTTTCTTAGCTTGAGAGTAAGATCTCATGTTATTCTTTGTGTGTTGTGCCAAACACTTCAATGGATAATCCCATCTACACAATCCAACTTGATCTTTTAAAGCCTCCACTGCTCCAACACTGGCTGCTGCAATCCACGCTCTCCTGCTTGAACTCATTTTGATTAAATTTCTTACAAAATTAATCACTTTTTTTTTCCTGCTTTGTTTTTGATATACTATATGAATTGATTCAATGATGTTTTGATTGCTTGTACATTTGAATGTTTTTGAGTTGTATGATGTAGAGAAATTGGGGCTAAATATATAGGCACAATACTGATGTAAAGGAGCAAAGGGGGAAGAATCTAGAAAGTGATAAACCAGTGGTTTTACGGCGACTGTGGGCTCTAAAGCCAGTGTTTTTATTTTTTATATTTTTTATGTTTTATTTTTCTCAACTCTACCCCTGAAAAAAAGGACAGAATTCAAATTTTACTGAGAAAAAGACAAAGAGTCAATTTTTTATTTATCACAGATGTCATTTAAATAATTCACGATAAAAAATTAACATATTTTTTAATTATATTTTTATATTTTAATAATATTGGATTTTAAAGAAATACTTATTACATAAGAATAATTTAATTAATTACACATTATATATATATATATATATATATATATATATATATATATATATATATATATATATAAATCTAGTAAAACCTTTATGAATATCAAGATGCTCTAAATATCTTAAAAAATTATAGAATATTTACTGCTTAAAAACAGTATTTACATATTTATCCGCTACCCTGTTTAAAATAAACAGCAAGAAAATAATGGTATCAGAGCCAAGTTGCTAAAAGAAAATATGATACTAGATAGAAATCTAGTAAAAACCTTTATGGTATATAGAATACGAAACTTTAGTAACAATACTAAAAATAATGAAAAATTTAGATGAAGATCTAAAAAGAAAAATAGTCTCTATAATTGCTCTTAGAATTAGAAAAGAGGAAGACAGACAAGAATTAATATACAATTCATATAGTTTTTCATAATGAAACTAATATGATGGATACTTTTGATTATTACTATTCAGAATAAAATGAGTTTAAAAGAAGTCTCTGAACTTCTAAAAGACTTAATAGAAAGTCAAAAACAATTAACCTTACGGTTAAAAATGATAGAAATAGAAATTAATTATATAAAAGAAAATCTTTCAGGAAAAATAACAAACATGATAGAAAAAACTGATAAGTTTGACAAAAAGGTTAGTCAAAAATATATAGAAGACTTACTAAACAAAAGGCATGCAAGTGCAAGTACCTATCAAAAAGGAAGCATGGATGAAATATTAATCCAAAATTTCCTTGAAAAACAAAAAAAGAAAGAAAAAGATTTATATGATCTAAAAACAAATGTAGAAGATAATTCGGAAGAACTTAATTCTGAAGAAAAAGAATCACAAAATAATGAATGAACTAGATGAATTAGTCTATTCAATGGAAGATCTAAGTCTTTCAGACGAACTAAAAATATTCATGAACAAAGGGGAAACAGGAGGACCCCAAGGAAAGTTTGAAGCATCTACTTCAATGAAACAAGAATGGCAAGAGCCAGAACAAGATAATAGAAATTTTGCTAATAAGGCAAAGAAAAACAATGAATTTTCAAAACATTTTCATGATAATAACAAATCAAAATTCATGCCAAATAGGCTTCCAACTGGAGACATTGGAGCTCAATTTCTTGATCTTGAATGCAAAAAGAGATCCAGAAAATAGCTTAGACTTATGGTCTCAAAATATGCTCCTATATTTCCTTTTGGGAAAAGGAAACTACACAGATGAAGAAAAATATACCATCATGATAAACACTTTCATGGGAAAAGTAAATGATTGGTTTTCTGGATTAACAGAAGATGCAGAAAATATAGTTAAAAATGATACCTTAAAGGGATTAAAAAACTCTGTACAAGAAGGTATAACAAATTTAAAACAATACATAGCAAATGAGTTCTTGGTGGACAAGGAAATATAAAAGAGAACAAAGAAACTATAAGAACCATTGCTAAAGAACAATTAGAAAAATTACAAATTTTGTAAAATGAGTTATATTCAAGAATACACTTGTGAATTCGAAGAATATTATTAATAAAGTATTTGATAGTGGGAAAGAAATGTTACCATACCTAGAAAAATACTATCAAAAACTACTAGGCTTCTGGGCAAAATACTTCAGAGAAGAATATGAAAAAGAAAATAAAAAGGGAGATACTCTTTGGTCAAAGAATTAATTTTCTAAAGAATCGACTTAGTCAACTTTGTATGTCTCATAACATTCAAAGAAAAGCTAAAAGAATAAATACACAAATTTATTGTAATGATACAAAAGCATCTACTCAATGGGGATGTGATGATAGACCATACAAAAAAAGAAAACAATTCAAAAAAGGTTTGAAAAGGAGAAAAATCTTCTCAAAACAGAAGTATATACCTAGAAAAAAATATTATAAAAAGAAAAGAGATTTTCTAAAAACAAAACCTGCTGATAAATGCAAGTGTTATAATTGTGGCGAAGAAGGCCATAAAAGTTATGAATGTAGCAAAAAACGAGTCAAAATCTCTAAAATAGACAGAATAGATATTGATTCAGATCTAGAATCAATAAAATCTATAGAAAGTGATGATTTCTTCAATGAAATATATGAAGAATATTCTAGTAGTTCAGAAGAATCTGACTAAAAATGAATAAAGAAATAAAAGAAAGAAATGATTCTGTTCAAATTCTAGAAACAGAAGAGGATCATCGAGGATATGCTTTAAAAGCAACCTTTGATGGAGAAACATTTAGGAAAATCCAAGGATTAAAACTAAATCTCAAAGTAGGAAGATAACCTACTGAGTAGAATGCAAAGAATGTTTGCAAGAGATAAAATTTCTTATCATGAATATCAAGAAATAGAAAAGGTAATAGAAATTACC